TGAAGGCATGGTCCCTTACGTAGGATGCACACCCAATCCAAGGGTACAGAAAAGATTAATTCCTCCAAGTTCTTCCCCACATGATGGCAATGCTTTAGAGATTTCAGTTTTTGTTCTGTTTGCCATACATTCCCTTATTTTGTTTCTGGGGTATTGCATTCAATTTCTTCTGCTGTTTTAGGATTTGGGGGTGTATATCATGCACTTATTGGCCCGGAAACTCTATAAGAGTCTTTTCCTTTTAGGCCCTGACCCTAGCTGAGCTACACGGAGCCCTGACCCAGATGGAAAATGACAAAGCTCAGGGAACGGACGGCCTCTCAACAGAATTTGGAGCTGCTTCTGGCCGACCCTAGGAGAGGACCTGCTTGAGTTTTTCAACGACCGCAGGAAAAAAGGAGGCCTAGGCAATGAACTAAGCACCAGTGTGGTATCATTGTTGCATAAGAAAGGAGACAAAGATAACCTTAAGAACTACAAAACCATCACCCTCTACAAAATCTCACTAAGGCTCTTGCGAATAGAATCACAAAACTAACGTACAAATGCTTTCACATCGACCAAGCAGGCTTTATCCCGGGCCGGTGTATACTAGACAACGTGCTGACGCTAGATCACAAAACAACGAATGAAGGCTGCAATCCTGTTTTTTGACTTCGAAAAGGCCTACGGCCAAGTCAACTGGGATTTTCTCCATGCCTGCCTGGAGAAAACGGGGGTAGGCCCGAACTTAAGAGATTGGGTGATAGGCAGAGTCCAGATCAATAGGATCCGATCGGAGACCTACCCGATATGGGCATTCCAAGGGACAACCAAGGGTTGCTGTTGGGACGACGCTGGCCGGAGCTGGGGCGAGTCGTGTTGCTCTGTAACCTGGCCGGTTGGGAGTGTGAGGCCTGGGAGAGCTCGGCAGGGAATAAGACAGTGTTGGATAGTTTTAGAGAGTTTTGTTTGGGAGTCTAGGGGTTCTGAGCATTTGAAAAGAGGTAAGTAGTCATTCATAGTTTTTCAACCTCTTTTTAATTCGCTTGAATTTCTTCAACAGTTCTCAATAGTTCTCAGATTGATTCTCAGCTGAAGCCGGGTAATGGCTCCGGTATCTCAAATGACTTGTGTAACTCTATATGGGACGCTGGGCCCGGTTCCCAGCACGTGCTGCTCCCCACGAATAGACTGGAGCATTTGTCCCAAAAAAAAAAAAAAAAAAAAAAAAAAAAAAGATCGGTCAGACAAGGCGACCCATTGGCTCCGCCCATATTCCTCTTCATTATGGAAGCCATAGCTTCCTTCCTTCGGAAAGACCCTTCTATCGACCACCTTACTGAACGCAACTCCAAACCATTACATGACTTGGCTACCCACTGCACTAATGTTCGTCGATGACCTTACTGTCCTCATTTGCGCTAATGACTGTTCTTTCCAAGCCCTCCTACGAGCAATGGAAGACTGGCATCAGAAATGAAGGTCAATTGGGGCAAAACTGAAGGTTTGTGGCTGGCAGACGGCACCCCTCCCCAACCAATGGATACAGCCACACCCATATCTTGGACAATGGGAGATCAAGCGCTACGTTTCCTTGGTATCATGACAAGGACGGGGTACTCAGAATGATGCCAAGCAAACACGGTACACCAGTAAGCAGGGAACAGGTCCTGAGACAACCTCTTTTCTGCAACCCTTGGATCATAAACCCTAGCGGAACGCCGTGGACACTACGCACAAAGGACCGGAGATGGCTGTCCTGGGTGAAAAAGGGGTGAGGCAGGTGAAACACATCTGGGCAAAAGATCGAGGACGATGGTATACAGAACAGGAGCTCCGACATGCTTTAAAAGGCTGCCACTCCCTTACTGAAAACCTAACGTTGATTCAAAAGAGCATTCCAACACAGTGGCTCTCCCTTCTAAGGGAGGATTTTTCGTGGAAGTCTGGGGATTGGGGCAGACTCGTCTCCCAAACCCAGCCGACCAAAGCATACCAGTTTGTCTCTCGAATAGACCCACTCAGCTACTTATCCAAATTCTATTCATACCCCATCGCTAATCACAGCTTACAAGAGTTGGAAATCCTAAACAAAGAACCCCAGTGCGACATGCTAGAAGCCTTCCGACTGAGAAAAGTGAGGGTCTCAAAGGCCAAGCACTGGACATTCGTCCAACCGGACCTAAGCATTTCAGACCTCGAATTCGACCCGAAAGAGTGGGTCTGGACGCAGGGTAAGTCCGGGAGAACGAGGACGATATTTGAATATGATGTTAAATTCGGTTATGGCTTGGGTTTACAGACCACAGATCCGGACCCCACTCAAAAGGAAAATGGACAAAGATACTGAATCTCCCACGGACCCCATTTCCATCCCTTGTACGAAGTGCCTACCGATTAGACCGGTTAGGATCCGGAGTATGCAGTGGCTCAGAGCGCACGCATCTCTACCGGTCAACCAATGGCTCTACAAGAGGAGGAAATATACGGATCCTGACAGCTCCAAATTATGCAGGTTGTGCCAGACAACATCCCGGAAGATATAACCCACTGCCTCCTGTACTGCACTGAAGCAGCATGGACATGGAACAAGGTGCACAACCTATTGTCCTTCCTCTTCCAATCACCCCCTCCATCCACAACTCCTCTGAACATCCTGCTCCTGTCCAACAATACTAACGATCTCAAAGGTGGCAAGGAAGTCTGGTTTCACATGCTCAGGAAGCTGGCTCTATGGGTAATATGGAAAAGGAGTGTACCAAGACTACTGAGGGTACTAAGATTCGATCCAGATGGAGGGAGGTGTCATCCACAACGAAAGTCAGACCAGAAAGATTAGCCATCAAGAGACGGACTTTCATGAGGAACTGGCTTCTGCAGGGAAAGATTGCAACCGCGGCAGATAACAGATTGATTTGGAAGAAGTGGCACAGCGCAGATCCAGCAAGGACGATGACCCAGGGATGGACAAACTGAGATTACAATCTCAACAATATAGACAACTCTCCTCTTTTCTCGCTTTACACGAGAGCCACCTGACAGAGTCACAGTAGATTCTGAGAGAAAAAGTGGTAGGGCAAGCTGACAGTCCATCCTCCAGTTCTGGTGCAATCAATGCTGGTCAGGGTTCCTTCGGCCAGACGGAAGGAAGCGTGAGTGTTCACCATGTTTTTCAATCCTCGACTTGCCGGTGGAAAGGAACCGCACTGACGCTCCCCAGAATGGATATGGAGCCAGGACCATAAGGACCTGTTTCAACCAAAAAAGAAAAAAGAAAAAAAGCATTGATTTTCATTTCAATTCTATTTTCAGTATTTGTGTGCTTCCCCTGTGTATTCTTATCATCTGGTGTGGTGTGGATCTCGTTTCAATCAGGCACATAACAGCAGGGTAGCGAGCGCAGGCAGAAAGGATAGCAAACGCAGGCCGGAGGACAAAAGTGTAGGGTAACGAGTCCAGGCAGAAACGATAGCAAATGCAGTTAGATGATATGAGCATGGGGTAGCAAATGTGGGCAGATGGGTAGGCAAATACGAACGGGCCTAGCTCAATAGCTGGTAGCCTGGTACACCCATGAACTGTTGAAATACAGACCAAAGTTCGAACCCAGATGTAATCAGATGAACATAATGAAATACCTGGGGCCAGTCACGTCAATGATGATATCTCAAATGCAGGCAGATGGGTTGGCAAATACCAACGGGCCTATCTCAGTAGTTGCCACGCCCATGAACTGTTCTTGAAGCACAGACGGAAGTTTGAATCCGGATGCAATCAGATGAACAGAATGAAGTAATTCTGAATAACCTGGGTATGGTCGGTTGAATTATGATATCTCAAGACCGTACCTTTTTTTCTAGGGGAAAGAAAAAAAGATGGGTTGGCAAATGCAGGCAGATGATATGCGCATTGGGTAGCAAATGCAGTAGATGCATTTGCAAATCCAACGGGCCTAACTCAGTGGGTACACCCATGGACTGTTGACATACAGACCCAAGTCCGAACCCAGATACAGGCAGCCGGTACGAGTGGCAAATGCAGACAGAGGGTGTGAGCCATCAGACGGTGCTATGCAGGAGGTTGGAAGAGCATCAAGAGGGGGGCTGGGCTGATGGGTAAGCAGCAGGGGATTGAGCAGGGAAGCGTACAAGGGCGGATAGAGAGGGAGCAGGGATGGCACAAGGTCTTTGGTATACTGATGATTTTGTAGGCTTGGAATGGAGACGATGTGTGAGGGAGGGCCTCAACACATGCACACGTACATGGCTGCGGAATGAACTTAAAATTTGACAGCAAAGGGATTGTGTGAGACGAGGAGGGGGGGAAGCATGCAACTGGGCATAGGAGCTCTGAGCAGTTGAGATCCTACAGGCATAACTCCAGCTTATTTCGGAAGATGACTTTTAAGTTGTAAGTACTGTCCTCTGGGACATCCGTTAAAATTGGAACGATACAGAGAAGATTAGCATGGCCCCTGCGCAAGGATGACACAACTAAATCGTGAAATGGTCCCAAAAAAAAAAAAAAAAAAAACACTCATAAGTACTAAAAGCAAACTGTTTATCGAGTTCGACACTGATGCCCACACATGCATAATCCAGCTGCAAAAACAATTACACATGAACGAGGTTCTGTCGACCACGTCGGCAGGCCGCATGGAGTGTCTTTAAATGTGAGGGACTCCAGACCTTTTCCCAGTTTTTGTTAAAAAAAAGGGTTTCGGAAAACCAAAAAAAAGATTTACCGTGAGCATACTCACCGAAGTAACGGCCTCCAGAGCAGTCAACAATAACCACAGTCAAGGAGACTCATTGTAACCACAGTCAAGTCAACGAGACTCCATAAGCGTACTATATGCGTTACTAACGATAACGGACAACCACAGAGCGACAGAAAAATGTATGAGATTCAATGGAGGAGCATAGAGTCATAGACAGAACGGGGTGAAAGAGCGGGAGGGAGGTGGGATGCATGCAAAGGCTGAAGGTGAAAGCTGCTGGGCCGGAAAGTTGACGTACTGTTGGCGATGAATCTCTCTGAGCAGAGGTTGCGGACTGTAGAGCCCTCTCTCGAAGGTGAAAACGGTGAGTGGGTCCCATTGAGATGTCAATGAGTGGCAGAGTGGAATTCCCAGAACCAAGGCGCAAATTTGTCGAGAGACCTCCTCCACATTTATCTCCTGCAGGATCAGCTCCTGAAGACGAATGCGGTGGCTCGGGAGGATGATGGGGTGAGTGTCCTTTTACTGAGATGCTTGGTGCTGTTGGGCTCATGTCCTCGACAGGAGTCGGAACTCGTGGTTGCAAATGGAAATAGAGGGATGAGTACATTGCTGGTGAGACCAAGTGCACCGGATACGCAGATGACTCCGATTGTCGGGTGTCGGCAGATGCTGCGTCATGTGGCACTGATGAGCTGGATTCACCTGCAATGTCCTCGACGGAGCCTGGGGTGGCCGTCATCTTTACCAGCCGCCATGCTGGCGACCAGCAAGAAAACTGCCGCAGCATGAAGGCATCTTGTTGGCTTTGGTTCTCGACATCAACCCTTGCCACATAATGCTCAACATTTTGGGGAGATGGAGTGATCTTCACACTCACTCGCAGAGACGGGACTACCTGGAACAACAAGAAACACCACAACCACCACCAGAAAACATTTGTTGAATGATGTTACACAGCCCATGTGAGTAGCCACATGCCCTGTTGATGAACACAGATCATTAGTTTGACTCCTGGCACAGCGGCAAAACAAGACAAGTCAAAAACAAAGGCATCTGTCAAGCTTGCTTGTGGTTATGGGAAGGTTGCCATTATTTCTTTGAGGCACGGGACAGAGGGGTACGGCAGGGAGGAATTGGGGGGGGGGGGGCAGGAAGTTCAACATTCTCACATAGAAGAAACGTGATACTTTCTCAGGCTCTTCATGAGAGAGAGAGAGAGAGAGAGAGAGAGAGAGAGAGAGAGAGAGAGAGAGAGAGAGAGAGAGAGAGAGAGAGAGAGAGAGAGAGAGAGTGGCTGCTCCTGTCGTGAGCACGTGGTCGCCGTCATCGAGCCAACATCACCGTAAGATACACAGAGAGAGAGAGAGAGAGAGAGAGAGAGAGAGAGAGAGAGAGAGAGAGAGAGGAGTCGTGGAGGAGGGAGGAGTTGTGGATGATGCAGGAGACGTGGAGATGCAGAGAAGGGAGGACGACGGCGGCTTAGAGGAGGGAGGATCTCGGAGATGAAGTGGGCGTCAAGGAGGAACAGAGGGGTGCAGGGTGTTGGTCGTGCTGTGAAAGGATTGACACATGTCACACCGATGACAGCACCCTCGGCAGGGCTGTATATGCAATGTCACCCACCCCGGCAGATTTTTTTTTTTTTTTTTCCTGGACCGTCCTCGTCCACTATGTCTGAAAGGTCCGGATCATGTCCGGAGTTCTGGACGTCCTGACCATTCCGGACGTGCATCTGGTTTCGGGTCCGGTCCGGTCCGGGTCCGGGTCCGGCGTAACCATGACTATCGCACTCATTTGCTTCTAGTAGAGATCAAACCCGGGTCTGCAGTTCAACAGTTCGGCGGTGTACCAACTGAGCTAGGCCATTCGGGGACAAAAAGAAGAAATGGCGGCATTGTTAGACGTGAAGAATTCCTTCTATTTTTTTTCTTTCCAGAAAGTCTAGGAGAATTTGACAGGGGGGATTCCGACCTCTCCTTTATTTCTTTTTTTCCTGGGTGAAGACAAAAGCTAGGCCCCTCAAGTTTGCCCAAGATAACATCGCTTGGACAGGCTGTATGTGGGCACTAACAGGGGGTAAGGCGTAGACCATACACCAGCATGCTGCACACCACCAAATACATCCTGTCTCTCACCAACCATTCTGTGCGTTACCAACCTAAACAGGGTATTCATTCAGAATCTCATTTCTTTTGAGATGGAACAATACAGAGAAAGATTATCATGGCCCCTGCGCAAGGATGACACAGATATATCAGCAATGGTCAAAGGGGGGTATGCAAAATTGGCCCAAATAAATATAGCACAACTACTTGATTATCGGAGAGTCGGAGACATCCTTCGGAATGCATGAACAACCCAGAGTCCAAGGGTATGGCACTATGCTCACATTGGCACCTTCTCTATCTACTAAATACTTTGAAGCTTGGGGAGGGCGGGCGGGCCTGCACGTTCATACACTTTTTTCCCGGGGGCGATTGGTACAGTTAGCGTTGGCGCGGCTTTATGAACGGTGTCTTTTTTCGCTGCGGGTCTGTTTCGCGCCGTGCCGTCGATTAAAGAAAGTGTTGTCCGGCAGGTGTCAGGCAGATTCAACCAGAAAGTGTGTATTCGTTTGATTTTGCTCATGCTATCAATGGGGAGACTTACCTGTTCTCTCTCTCTCTCTCTCTCTCTCTCTCTC